ACTTTTGTGATTATAATATGTGACTTAAATATTTAATTTTCTCTTTAAAAGTGTTGGTAGAATGCATGGCATTTTTTTTAGCAATTTTCTTATCACTGAATATGTTGAAGTTATTGTTAACAATGAATATTAGGGCTTTGGTGTACATTTTTTGTGTATACATAGAGTATACACTTAAGGACCCTCTGTGGAGCCCTGTGTATGAGCAGTGACATCCCAAGACAGTCAGTCTGACTACTGATACAATTCACTATGTGTGTAACAGATGAGTAGCATATACAGCTTGGATATAATGGGGTGACTCATACGTTGGGCAGGATGGAGCAGGCCAGTACGATAATTTCCCAACTCAGAGCAAACCCAGTTTAAAACTTAAGAATTATTTATTTCTGGAATTTTTCATTTAATGTTTTCAGACCATCCTTAACCTTGAGTAATTTAAACTTCAGAAAATGAAAGCAGAGCTAAGTGAGAATTAGTTTTCATTAAAGAAAATAGTTGAGGAGAAGGAAAAGTTTTATCTCGCCAAAGAGTAAAGTCTTAGAATGTTAGTAGTCTCCCCCTTTCCTGCAGAATGCTAAAGAGATTTGAAAAATGAGCAAAATAAAGGCTTCTTCTGTAATTGTTCTGCTTACTTTGAGATTGTCTATCTTGTGCCCTGCATACATACACATGTAGTTGAATCTATGATTTACATAATGGAATAAGATATTTGATTAATCTATTCAACAAATATTTGAGAGCCTATTATATGCTAGGCTGTGTTGTAAATGGTAGAAATACAGCGTAGAACAAAAGAGCAAAGTTCTTGCCCTTTGTTAGATCTTCTGTTTTTAAAAAGAGAGACAACTAGAAATTGTTAGAGAATAAACATGTAATGTTATGGGTTAGAAAAAGAAAGAAGCTACTATTTTGGGCAAGATGGTCTGTTAATAACATCTTGCAAATCTGAGGTAAGTGAGGGGTGCAAGCTTTACAATGCGTGTGTGTTCAAGAGAGAGGGGTATTGAACCCAGCATTAGCAACCCTTATTATTATTATTTACTTTAGACTGGGTCTCACTAGGTTGCCCAGGCTGGCCTCAAATTTTGATCATTTTGCCTCAGCTTTTCACAATACACCATACCACCTCACCTGGCTGGGCAAATGCATTTCAAGCAGAACGAATTAAAATTAGAAATATCCTAAATTAGGAGTAAGTCTGATTGGAAAAAATGCAAAGAGGCAGTGCACTTAAAATTGTAACTGATGAGGGATTAGATCTTTGCTGTATATGTAAACCGGATAAGTTTATCTACACAAGTGATACGTTGTATTGAGTTCTCATATTTCTAAGTACTTTTAATTTGCATATGAAGTGGCTAATACGAATGAAGTCTTTTTATCTATGTATTATGTCAATTGCTATTCCAAATCATAATAGACTAAAATAATTTCTAAGATACTGTATAGGTTCTCTATGGTTTATCACTGACTCCTAGAAATACATATTTTAAAAATTTTTATTAAATAGTTATCTTAATGCAGAAGTCTCCAAAAGTAGTATATACTTATTATTTATAGCTACATTAAAACCGTTATGAAGTTATTCTAGTTTATACTTTCTTAAAATAATTTACAAAGCAGTTGGAATTTATCACTGGAGAACTTTATTTGAAAGGTTAGGATTTCCTGGGATAACAGAAACCTCAGTTGGCTTAAATAAAATAGTTTGTCTTACAGAAGCACTTGTACTTCCAAAGCGGAGTGATGACTTTCACAGAGCTAAGTTATCTTGTTCTATTCTGCTTAATCCAGTGTAAGACCTTGGTCTAATGCTGGTTTTTTGTTTAACCACCATTCCAGCAAGTAGGATAAAGGAAAGATAAGCTTTCCCTTTGAACAATATTTTCCAGAAATTGCACGTATCACTTTTGTTTTTGATCGTGTTGACCAGACTTTACACACATGGTCACAGTGAACAATAAAAATGACTTTTGCTGGGGCTGGGGATTTAGCTCAGCAGCAAAAGCGCCTGCCTGGCAAGCGCAAGGTCGTGAGTTCGGTTCCTGGTACCAGAGAAAAACCAAAACCAAAAAAAAAAAAAAAAAAAAAAGACTTTTGCTGTTGCAGCTTTGTACCTACCAGCTTTTGGGAGTCTTGTTATTGATGAGAAGGGACGAGTACCATTGTGACCTGTTAGTCTCTACACCACAGGCCCTTTAGACAGTAAGGAGAAATTAGTTTTATAACATTGTGACTTTTGTCTATTTTTTCCATATTAAAGTTTAAATTATCCAACATACTTTATAATCACTGTGATTTTTTTTAAATAGATGAGTTGTCTAATGACCCTTCCCCGATGCCTTTCTCTACATTCCGTTGTCACTAGGAAGTCCGTATTAAGGTAGCAATTAAGAGTATCAAGCCAGATCACGAGGTTCTGAACCTGCCAGTGCTGCCTGTAGGAGTGTAACCTTGGACAAGTTAATTAGCTTTTTCTGACACAGTTTCTTCATCTTAAAATGGGAAGGAAATAGTACCATGCACATGGGATTGTTTTCAAGATTAAATAATGAGTTGTAAAGAATTTAGGATAACTCCTAACACTCAGTAAACCCTCAAATGTTGTTATTATCATCAGTTGACAGGTTCCTAGTGAAAGTAGTTTTAATTATATCCTAAGTAAAACTTAAATGTAAAAGTTAACAGTAAAATTATATGAATATTGTCACTGTGGTAGAGGAAAAGTGATTGGATAATAAAAACGTGTCTAAATTTGCTTACTTGATTTTGGCATATTTTCTTAGTTATATTGATTTGATGATTCTGTGTGATGAGCTGTATTTTAGACCATATGTACCAATATATGTACATTCAGTATTTTTCTTTTGAACTTTATACATTGTTATTCCTTTAGGTTCATTCAGAGCCAAGATGTCCAAAGAGTATGAGAAGTGAAAATACCTTCACTTGTGTCTTGGGATAAATTAACCAGTGAACCTATTAGAGAATAATTATGTGGCAGTTGAAAGTTGAGTCTTTCAAGATAGAAATAGGCCTCAGGAAAAAGGCTTTATTTCTTCTGTTATTCCAGGAAGTCTTGTTTGATTAAATATTTCTTTGTGCTTTGTTTTATTTTATAACAGACTATACAGAACTTTTTTGCACTTGGCAGATTTTATTGAAGCTGTGTATTTCTGTCTGTCTTTTCCACAGACAGACATAGAAGAGATAGTGTCTTATTCAGATTTGTATCCTTCATATTCTACACACTGTTAGGATAGAAGACTTAATTTGTTATACTAAACAGCAATACATGTTCCCACTTCCGTAGGAGTTTCTTTTAAATATCAAGTCAGAAATAACAGTAATTTTTCCATGAGTTTAAATTGTTTTCTAAATTTGGTAATCTATAGGAAGATGTTTAGAAATAGTTGTATTTCCAGAGTAAGCTGTGATGCCTCAAAACAATGTTCCATGTTATTGAAGTTAGCTTAGGAGGCCTGTGTTTCCAGGCTCTTTCTGTATTGAACCTCCTGTACATAGTCTTAATTTTCACTTCATGCTAAGGTATCAGGACAATAAACCTCACTGTATGTTTTTAGAATATGACAGCTTTATTGAACAGGTCACTTAGTTAACTAATTTCTTGTATGACACTCCAGTAAATAGGAGGTGATAAATTGTCCTTTTGAGATAGAGTAATACTTGTACTGCATAACCTTTGAGTCTGAAATCAAAGTAGATGAAGCATATCTGTACATGTATATCTATGTATCTTTCATATATAGTGTGTATGTGTGTATATATATATTATATATATATATATACATGTAAAGTTTAACATCAAAAGTGGATTATCTGTCACTTTTGCATTAGTAGAAATTCAGCTTCATGACTAAAACAAAAGCCAACAGACAGTCTCTGTCTTGTGCAGGATATGTGGATACATTAAAGGATCCACATATTAGGATTTATTAAAGTATTTTGCTGAAGTTGTAAAGGTAGATGCAGTTAATCTGTGTTCTTCACTAATCATATCAAATTCAGCCGCTTATTGATGGCAGTCCATTATATGTTACCATAGTGTCCTTTTGAAATGACTGTGCTGAAGGGGGCTTGAGACATTTAAATTTAACAGTTTTTTAAAGGGACTTTAATGTGTCCTTTAAGATAGTCCATCAGATATTCAAGGGTTAGAAAAAAAATCCCACATTTTTATGAATTTAAAATAATGATCATCCTTATTCTCAGCTTTTAGTCAAATAAATATTGTAGTATGAAAATGCTAGATAAACCATAGTATATTCTGTGCATGTCATTTTTTTTTATAGCTTGCATGCTACTGTTGCCCTTTTTTATACCTAGTAAATACATAGTTGTTGAATGGAAGATGCTCAGAGGAAATACTCCTAAGCTTGAATGTTTTCACTTTTTAAACTACTTTGATTGTTTGTAAACTCTATGCATTTTCAATAGCATCTGTAGTAATACACCTAAGAAGTTTTCATTAAACTTCATCTAAATACAACTATATAAAACTATATTAAGTAGCAAGTTGTGATGAGTTTTTCCTCCTTATTTTAATATTTTAGTTAATTTTAATTTAGGAATACAAATTTCAAGTTTTATTTTCTGACCCAGAGAACTATAGAGAAAATTAAAAACAGCTTTTAGAGGATCAAAAAATTAACATCCCATATTAAGTTTGCAAGGATACCTGCATTGCTTTTAGAGTTTAAAGAATAAACTTTATTGTATAGCCGTTGCTCTCAAATTGTTATCTTGTAATCTAGGAACTAAAGCTGTTTTGTTTTCAATTCAAAAATAATTTAGTTAATATACTTAGACCTAAACTTTTCAGTTTTTCTGTATTAAATATGGTACTCAATATTATTTTGTCATTATCCTCTCCAGCCACACATCCTTCTGCCCTTTTTGTTTTTTGTTTTTTGTTTTTTTTTGCCTTTTCAAGTAGCTCCTTAATCTTCAAATTCCTCTTTCCTGTTTTTCTAAAGGTCGATTGAGCTACCCACATCCAGGAACTGACAATCTGTTGATGTTAAATGGTAAGTCCTATAAAAACATTTTGTATATTTTATTGGTTTATGTAAAGGTAACTAAATACATATTTCTCAAAACCTTCAATTTAATCACTTTATAAAGGACAAGAATAAAGCTATTGCCATGCATGGTAGTAAACTCCTGTAGTCCTAGCTACTGACCAGTCTAGACAACAAAGCCAGACCATATCTCAAAAAATAAATAAAGAAAAGTCATAGCTCTTCCTTTGAAGAGAGCAGAATCAGGAATCTGAGTATATCCTGGCTGGTAAAGTAGTCATCAAAGTATATTTGAGACAGTATGAGTTAATTCATTGATCACAGATTTTGGGTGTAGTCCCTGTTTGGATATTAGCTTTTCAATTTAAGATATGACCTTAGTCAACTAAATTGACCTTAGTTTTCCCACTTGTAAAATGGAAATATACAATCTCAAGGTTTATTATGAGAATTAAATGAGATAAAGTTTGCCAAGTACCTAGAAACCCATTGCTTAGTTTAAGCACTTGTGTTTATGTTTAACTGAAGAATATACTTGTGATTCTATAGATAGAATAATCACACTAATTTAATTTATTATAACTAAAAAGTTTGCATAGTTACAGTCAACAGTTAGGAGAAGAATAAACTTCCATTGAAGTTTGTTTTCTGTTGGTCAAATATTATTGTATATATAGTCACAGTACTCACACCTCCATGATTGTGTGAGTAGGGGTGGAGGTTTACAGTATTTTTCACACAAGTATTTTTAAACCATATGTTAGTTGGAAAAGGAAAATAAGAAGAAGAAATAGAAATCATATTTACTTTTTAAAATATATAAGAATGGCTTAGTGCTTCTGTCTCATTGAAATGTGTTGAAATAACACGACAATGATGTTGAGGAATGGAGGTTGGAAAATAACTAGACCATATGAACTGATACCATGTGAGGATGACAGTAGTGATAGCAAGGTAAGAATAAGGCCCATGCTCTCTCAGAGATGGTCAGGGTAGAGAAAACTTTGGAATGAGAGAAAAAATGAAAGCAGAGTGGTAGGGGAGGTGATTGATGGTGTTTCCAACCCTTGGCTCTTACCGAGTTGTCTAGAGCATAGACCAGCGGTGGTGAACCTATGCCCCATGCCGTGGGCAGCTGTTTGTTATCACTGAAAGCTCTGAAAGGTTTGCCACCGCTGGCCTAGACTAAAGGCAGCCTAGATTAAGGTCAGCCTAGACTGACTAGAAATTTCACTGAGGGACTTCTTTATTCAACTATTGTTCTACTGTGTAGCGAGCTCACTAAAACAATACTGTAGAAATTAAAACTGTAAAACTAAACATCGCTTCTTCCCTTGACTTAGTTTATAAAATAATGCCAAGTTTAGGTAGCAATAAATTATTTACATATTGATTCCTCTTCCTCAAACATTCATTATGGTAAATAAAGATGTTTGTATGTTTCCTAACTTTTGGAAAAGCAATTCTGTTGAAAAATTCAACTTTGCATGTAGTTCGCATACTCTGTTAAAATCCATTTGAAGAAAAGTACTTTATGAAATGATATTTACAGGTGCTTTTAGATTGCTGAATGGATAGAAAGCTAGGGTGATCCCAATAAAATGTCAGGTGTAAGCAAAAGCTTAGTGGGCATACTGTCTTTCCAACTTAGATTTTCAGTTTTACTGATTATTAAACTGATGATTTTGCCAGTTGCCAGAAGCCCTTATTACAATCTAGTTATTAAGTTGAAAAATGTTTCATAGCAAGACATAATAGTATTTTATTTTAGGCAAGAGTTAATCTTGTGGCCAAAGCTACTTTTTTAAAATTATGTGAGCTCTCTCAGTAGTCTACTGTTTGGGGCTGCAGTGCATACTTAGTGCAGGAAACCAACCTCTATGTGAACTGGCTAGGCGCTGGAGGAGGGAACAGAGGAGAGATAATGAAATCAGGACATCAAAATGTATTTAGGTCAGGAAGAGAAACAATTTGATTCAAAGAGGAAAAAGAAGTCTTATTTGAGATGGGTTGAGAGATGAAGCAGGAGCCACATAATTGGGTACATTTGTGGAATAAGGAAGTAGTAAATAGTAAGAATGTAAGTCATGTTAGACATCAGAGTCATTTAGGAGAGAATTTGGCCAAGAGAAGGGAACTAAAAAAGTAAGGGGAAATTTTTTGAGCTGTTTTTTAAATACATGTAAATGAGCTGTATTAGAAGTGTATTATCTCCCTGAGAAATATGGGAATTAAATGCTGGTATTACAAGGCTGTGCCATTACTATATATATAGTAAATTATTGAAGTCTTTTTAAATTATTGAAGCCTTTTTAAAGCATATCATAGGGCAGTTGGCTAAGTTAGTTGCATTATTTGCCCTATGAACATAACTAATATTGTTGACTTTAAAATAAATATTGAGAAATAGATTTTGTATCAGCATTTTTCGTAGCGGTTAAGCAGTAGTCAGTACTGACTGATTCCACAGACACTGAAGCCAGTCTGAGTTTTCTATCTGTGTAACCTTGAATAGCTCACCGTACTTCACTGTGACTTAGTTCCTTCTGTTTATAACAGTGTCCTGCGCGTCCTGCCTGCCTGGGGTGGGCGAGGGTGGACTGGTGTTATGAGTGAGTTCATTTATGTAAAATATCCAGAACAGTTCCTGAGGGTAAATAATAGCTGGGCATGGTGAGTGAAGTGACCAAAATAACTTCACAAGAGCAAATTTGTGATCTATTAATAGATGAAGGAGCCACGTATATTTATCTTGGGGAATATAAAATTGAGGTATAAGTGATAACCCTTCTAATCTTGAGAAGGGTTATTTGGAGCAGCGGGTATATTTTTCTCCTTAGTTTTGTTTTTTTCAAGTTGAAGAAATTTTTTTTTAGTTTCTAAGCAAGAGGAGTTTAACCTCCAATCCCAGCTGGTGTGGTCTGTTTGCCTGTCCCTGCCTCCAGCTGCAGTAATTCAGCGACCACAGCTATAGGTGAGCGCCAGTAATTACGGGCAGAGTCCCTGGACAGAATGTTACAGTTACGCCATTTTTTTGTAGCTGTGGGTTAGAACCTGAACAAGGTGAGTGGGAACCCAGGACCAAATTATAGTCAGTAGGACTCCTTTATATGAGAGGTCTCCAGGTTTCTCTCAGAGCCTTTTCAATACATAAAGAAATGTATTTACCAATGATACATTTTTAATTCATCCGTATATATATATATATGTGTGTGTGTGTGTATATATATATATACACACACAGTGTGTCTGTATTAAATAGCCAGTTTTACATTTTTGCCTAAATGAGGTTACTTTTTGGTTCATGCTTTTATAAAATAAGTATATGTGAAATTTGCTTTTATAAATGTAATTTTTGTACAAAATGTCCCTCCCTCATTTTTTCCTAAATGTTCCGAATTAGAGGAGCACACTAAAGAAATCTGAAAAACATGATAGTCATTTAATGAGTTTCTTTACTTCCTGGGAGTTTAATATTGTGATTCACTGTTACAGTGGAACATAACCTACAAATTCACATAGAAATACTGGTAGAAAATTAGATATAAACACCATCAATTAGTGAGATTGTAGAAGCTTGGTTATTTGCATGACAGGGAATAGTAAGTATTTTGCATGGTCTAGCTTCATCCAGTGTCAGTTTTATTTATGATAATGTAAGGAATTGCCTCCTGAGAGCTGTGCAAAAAATAAGTATCACAGGTATGAGATAATTGAAGAAATTTTCTAAATAATTGTATGTTCCAGCCTAAAAATAAGATGAAATTTTCACTATTTTAATACCGAGGAGCTGTAGCTAAGAGTAAAAGTTAAGAAAATAAACTGGTTATGATGTCATTAATTTTCTCAATAGGTCCAGATTGTGTGCTGTTATGACTTCATAACAATTCATCACTTGGCCTTAGACTTGATGAAAATAGTTTCATTTGCTGTATAAATCTTTATCCCTCTAGTCTAGAACATCCGCGAATAAATGTCTCCTAAGCAAACTTATACTGCTGTCATGCCATAGGCCATCCTTAGGGATAAGCAGGAGACCTACCTTCGGCTTGTGAAGGAGACTTGTGAAGCATCTGGGCGCATGCTGCCTATTTCCAGGCTCAGGAAGTTTACTCTTCTGTAGCCCACTCCTGATGGCTCTATTAAAGTTACTTTTTATCAGTCTGATTTTCCGTGGTCAAGTTCCCAGTGCTGTGAAACATTTTCTTAAGGCCTTTATAACTCTTAGAAGACTTAGACAATAAAATTCTAAGTACTACTTCCATGATTACCCTCACCCTAAATCAATGGCAGGTCGGGTAAACTATGAAATCAGTCTGCCAGCACTGAGATCGGGAGAGCACAGGGGCAGGCCAGGTGTGACAGAGATGCCCTGAGGTCACTCAGAGGACTCTGATGTAAACCATGTATTTATTGACTGATTTCCTAGAAGGCTGAGAATTGATGTTGTTTTTCCTACTTTTCAGTATTTAATATTTCCTCCTTTTTCCTCACCTTAGAGCCACTTTCTTTATCTTAAAGCCAATTAAAAATACACTTTGTAAAACTCAAAGATAGTATATTAAATGATGTGAAATGATTCCTTTTGATCTTGAACTTCTATATTTTTGGATTGGCTACATTTCTAACAATTTTCAGTACGTACATTTCACTTGAGATTTATTCAGCATTGAATTATTTGCAGGCCCAAATCTATTAATATAAATTAAGATATTAATTTTTTAACAGTCATTATTTGGTTATTGCCTTAATTTTATGTATTTGAGTATAAAAATATTTATTTGAGTATAAAAATATTTAAAATCAGATGGGGGATTATATAAAATCAAGTTGTAGATATTGTCAAACTGTAATTTCTTATGAAGAAATTACCATATTTTTTTCTCCTTAGTAATGATCTAAACTGTTGGTAACATAAATTGAAATGCCTTTCTACTTTATATTTTTACAGTACTTGACATACGTACTATTATTCTATGTTGATATTGAGTAATTTGCATATCAATCCCTCTGAATCTCAGAAGTAGATATATATCTGAAGAATAAAAAGCATTATTAGCTTTAGTATATCTATAGCCATTTCTCTGAGCAAATTTAAAGAGGCATTGATATTTTTCCATCCCATCTAAGCTATATGTGCTTCACAGTATCAACCTAGTAGTCATTTATCATTCATTTGAATCTTCCAGTACTACTTTCATGGAGAGTTTGGTGTAACCAAGATTGGGTCTGAAAAGCTTTCTATTGGACAATGTAACCTACTAGTCTCTGTAATGAATTGAAAATTAAGAATTTAATTTAGATTGTTTTCACTCATTGAGAAAAATATTTAGAATGCTGTTTAACTGCAAATTGTATGTTTCTATCAAGATGAAATGAAGCAAATATTTACTTGTGAATTTTCAATGTGAAGGACGAATAATTGTGAATATTCTGTGATATGGTTCACCTAACATATGTCATATCTAATGAAAGTGCTTTGTTAATGATGAAACATCCTGCAAATGGTATGTGGTGTCATTATCCTAGGCCTTACAATAGCACTGATTTCCATGTGCCCACATAGACTTTCATATCACAGATATTTGTACATGTAGGCTTATGTTTAGTTCTGACATTTTACAATTTCTCCTTTGTTTACATGCAGCCAGGAGTTATGGGCGAAGACGAGGTAATTCATTTCTGTTTGCTATGGTATAACTGTCTCTAATTGGGTTTTCCTGATCAGTGTTGGAATTAATTATTCCAGATAATTAATACAATGTCTGAGAACTCATAGGAAAGTTAAGCTTTGATGTGAGCACTCATGAAAGTTTCATTCTAACTCTTAACTTTTAAGGTATATTTTCATACTAATTATGGTTATTTAATAAAATTGTTTTATTTAAACTACACCCAGATTTTTAACTTATAAAAAGCTATTTTTGTATCTCCTAAAGCTGCTGTTTATAGTTTGCTTAACAAATTTGTCTCTAGAAGTAAAGGTGACATGCAATGTGGTTTTTCCAGTCTCTAAACTATTAAAATCAAATTATTAAATTACATAATTTACAAGTCTAGATTGTTTTCTGTGTTTGACTCAGTTGAAAGTAACATACACAGTAAGTAAATCACTGCTAACACTGATTAGTAGAAATCATGCTGCTAATTTTCTCTGTCTTCTAAGACTACAATCTTTTCTGTTGTAACACCCACACTCCCCTCTCCCCGCACCAGAGGGTTCCCTGAGTGTTCTCATATCCAAAGGGTAAAACCAGGTTTATATGATGCAGCAGTATTACTGAACTCCCTAGGAGAGCAGCTGACATTTTCTGTGACTAAAACTTTGCCTCTCTCTTTTTCATGTCTAGAAATTGAGAAGGAGAAAAGTAGAATGAGAGGAAGCAAAAGTAACTTAACACTACTAGCCTATCCACTAAGTAAGCAGTAACCCTGATATTTACGTACTTCTGCTTGTTATTTGCGCCACTCTGAGTAAAACGTGTTCCCCTGACCGCAGTCACTGGAGGGTGGACAGTGCTCAACATGCCCTGAGACTAATCCTGTACGTGTGACCCAGTGCTGCAGTTTCTTTTCTCCTAGTCATGCATGTGTGTACTTTGAAAACAAACAAGCAAGACTATTTGCCACCAACAAGCCAAGCTAGATTTCAGATCCTTAAGAGGTAGTTCCTGTTTCCTAGTTCAGATCTCTGAATTCAACCTCCTAATTGGAATTGTTGCTTCACTGAAACTTAGGCTTCTTAAGTTTTTTAACGCAAAACTTAGAAGAGACCGAAACTCAAGCTTAGAAAGCTGAGGCTGAGTAACTTACTGAAGACAGTTATTAGCGAGCTGAGAAGCGGGTGAGAAAGTTTAGAACTTCAGCACCTGTTTTTAGGGCTATGGACTGACTGACTTCACTACGCAGTATGGAGCTCCAGTTATCTTGAAACAACGGAAGTTTAGCAATCTGATTTTAGGTATTTTTGCAACTATGGAGGAATTTAGGATTCTTTTTTTTTTTTTTTATTTGGTCTGAGACAAGGTCTCCCTATGCAGTTCTCAGGCTGGCCTTGAGCTCACTTTGTAGCCCAGGCTGATCTCAAACTTACAAAGATCCTCCTGCCTCAGCCTCTTGTGTGCTGGGATTACAGGCGTGCAGAAGTTAGGATTCTGTACTTACTAAACGCTTTTCATCTTTTAACATTAGTGACTTATGTCTGCTTTGGCATACTCCAGTGTAAACATTATGATCTAGTAAATTTTTAGGAAGAAGGTAACAGAAAATAATCCTGTAACTTATCTTCTTAAATCTAAGTTTAGTAGTCGTAGACTATGATTATGATAATAGGAAAAAAACAAAAGTTTCTTTCCCTATTTTTAGATAGGAACTTGCTACCATTCTTGCCTGTCTCTGTCCCCTGGGGCCTGTAAAGATGGGCCCCTTCAGAGCTGGCTCTCAGGGAGACTTTCTTGCATGATTTAAGGCTTCAAAATAAACACTTCCTTTGAGACACATCTGACAGTGCTCACATGTATTTGGCTCAGTATCAGAGGGGGCTGATGCCTGGATTTTCCTCAGATTATATGGCATTACTGTAGTAATTTTTCTGGTTGGTTCTCTGGGCATTTTTGGAATCTACAGCTCCCAAGGGTCTCCTTTTATGAGCTTCATTTTGTAGCGTTGATCCATCAAAGAAACTGCATTTATTCATTTTTCTTTTTAGAAAAATAATGAGTCTCATATCTTCCATTCATATGAGATGTGTCACAATGAGCTGCTGTAATTTTGCTAGAAAAAAACCATGTCTGTTCTACCAGCGCAGTGGTGAGTGAACAGCGTCCATTTCCCTTCCAGTTTAGGAAGGACTGATTTGTTGTTGTTCTTGCTGCCTTTGACTCACTGTTCAGTCCAGCAAACGGTACCGTTTTCATTTAAAAGACTTCCCACTTGACCATAAACACAATTGCTACCAGAATGACTTCACATATTTTTAAATTTCCTTGAGGTGATAAATATGAGCTTCCACTCAAACTGGTTTAGGGTACTAGGTTATGAACTAACTTTGGAATAATCAAATATGTAATTATATTGGAGATAGTTAAGAAAAAAACCAGGCTTTCTTTCCCTGCATTTCATTTATAACCACTTACTTACTACTCCTGGGTGTCTCTGGCCTCATACTACTTTGAAGCTGCCTGGGAGACAGCACTGGGACTGAGGAAGACATACATAGGGAGTGACTGTACCTTCTAGAAAACTACCTCTTTCCTGTTGCTACTGTTTGTTCATTTTTTTTTCATTCCATTCTGAATGTGCATATACTGTCTGAGTTGGAGTAGGGTAGGGGTTATGCAGGGAGGTGTGAAGTGTAATTTAACATCTTTCACTCTACTTAAAATATTGCAGTATCACAATGTGTCCTTCTAATTCTCTATTAATCCTCTTCCTGCTATGCTCCAAAAAAGAATAAAAATATGTACAGTATTTTGAGTCGTGGAAATAATATATTTTGGTGGCACTAAACCCCAGAAAACAGTCATTTCTAGCAGATTAAACTCAAAGCTTGAGTCAGTAGATTACATTTAGAGTGGGAAGATAAGAGAAATAATTTTAAAGCAAATTATAGAAGTTGAGTTACTAGAGTTTGATTTATTCAGTTACATGCTATCGTTAATAAGGAATTATTAATATATACTATGTATTTGACACCTAATCTTGGATACATAATTTCAGTAATTATTAGAGAATGGGCAAGATCTTTAAAGCGTGAAGAAACAGCAGGATAATGTTTTGTCCCAGGGCTGGCAAGCAGAGTCCCACAGGCCACGCTTCCTGTTTTTTTAAACATGTATCGGAACGCAGCTATTATTTACCCATTTGCTTCCTTTCTGCCTGGCTGCTTTGGGGCTCCAGGGGGCGCAGTTGAGGCACTGCAGCAGAGTGCGTGTGACTTGCAGAGTTTAATACTGTGTCTACTTTCTAGCCATTTAAAGTAGAAAAATTGCTGGCCTTGCTCTCCCCTTCCAAGAAAGACTGCTGTGCACCTATGCTGAACCACAGCAAATTTCAAAGGAAACAGAACTGCAATGATTTTAATTTTAGGGCAGATATATGTAGAAATTATATTTGCAGTGACATATAGGTCTGAAAATAATAGGTTAAAGTTAAGTATCTTAATTATCCACTATGAGAAAGGAACAAACCCATAATTGGAGTAAGATATTTTAGATAATAGGTGCATATTAGTTTTGGAGCGGCATACTGATCAGGGAGGCTGTTTGATTAAACAGGTGGTACTGAAGGGACATCCATCCTGAACTTTCCTATTTCTTTGATAAATTTTAAGTCCTTGCATATTTAATAAAAATCATGTCATCACACTGGGTGAGTATCTCCCTTGACTGCCAGCACCCTAAACGATAGGGAGACCATTCATACTAATACTTAGTTTCTATACCTTATGAATTTTTATTTGATAACAATATTTAGTAAATAAAATTATGAAATGGTCTATTGAGTTCAAAAAACCATGGTTAGATTCAAGCTAGAAATGGGCTATATTTCCACAAACATTTTTTCATCTCCTGCCTCCCCCCGTTAGTGTGTTGGGAGTGTGTTCATTCTGAGATTCTAGAACAAGGCTAATGTCTAAGATGTCAAGTCTGATTGTTGTGTTTGGGAGCAGTAGCACAGCCTCCAGTGTCAGCAGCCAGGGCTTCTCTAGGGGGCACGCAGTGTGCTGTGCGGAGGCCTAGGGGAAGGCTGCCCATCTGCCCCTCAGCCGTGCGCACAGGCTATTTCAGTTTAGGAAACTCGCGATACTTTTTGTTTTTTGTTTTTTTTCCGGTACCAGGAATCGAACTCACGACCTTGCGCTTGCCAGGCAGATGCTGTGCCTCTGAGCTAAATCCCCAGCCCCGTGATACAGTTTTGATTGTGTACAGCAACAGTTTTTATAGAAAGAGTGAAAAGTCCTATGCATTTTTTTTTTTTTTTTTTTTTTGGTGAGTAGCTTTTCACCAAAATTGCTGTCAGTTACTTTTCAGTTTGTGAGTGGAATTTCATTTAATGATAAACCACAATTTTACCAATTTCCCTACTGAAAGACATTCAAGTTGGCCATTTGGCCAGGAATGGTGGTGCATACCTGTAATCCCAGTACTTGGGAGGCTGAGGCAGGAGGAGCATTGCGAGTTCAAGACCAGCCTAGGCTACAAAGTGAGCTTAAGGCCAGCCTGAACTGCATAGCGAGACCCTGTCTCAAAAAGACAAAAAAAAAAACAATTTAAAAAGTTGGCCATTTGGAGCTTGGTAAAGCTTCCGTGAATATCTGTGTACCCCTTCTGTGCTGTGTGAAGGGACACGCACCTCCATTTCCCTCGGATGTATAACTAAGAGTGAAATGACTGGTTCATAGAATAATTAATTGTATGTTCTACTTTATTAGAAACTGCCAATTTTGTACTCCGAAGAGTGTGAAATCACTTTAGATGACTGACTTTTCGTTTTATCTGTTCTGATTGGTTTATAAGAAGTTTCTCATTGCAGTTCTAATTTTTATTTTCCTGATGACTCAGAATAATGCTAAAGCATGTTTACATGCTTAGAGCCCATTCCACTTAATCATGATGTGTTTTTCAGTTTTTTGTGTATTTTTATTATGCTAATGTTAAGATTTTTGCATTTTTGTTTATGAGGAATATTAGCATATGATTTTTCTTTTAATATTATTGTTGGGTTTTAGTATCAAGATTGTAAGTTAGGAAGTTTTTCCTCTTTCATACTCTGAAAGAAGGTCTCTAAAATTGCTTTTACTTCTTTTGTACAAGTCTGGTTCATTCACTAGTAAGGCCATCTAGGCCTCAAGTTTTCTGTATTGGAATGGTTTTTGCTTTTTAGTTGTTTTCAAGTCATGATTTTATTTTATTTTTTAACGGATATAGAACCATTCAAATTTTATTTTTCTTCTCGTGCCAGTGTTAAAAGGTTCATTCTTGTCCAGGGATTTGTTCATTTCCTCTAGTTAAATTTCTTAGCATAAAATTGTCCATGCTAATCCTTTCATTGTAGTCTTTTAGCATCTGTAAATTTTATACTGACGGATGTTCCCTTTGTTACACATAATATTGCTAATTTGATTTTCTTTTTTTCTTCATAAGCTTTACCTAAAGGTATCACTTTTAGAAGCTTTTGAAGAATCAACGTGGGCTTTATTGATATTAGTTAATTCTAGTGTCTTTTCTATGTCATTAATTTTAGTTTTTAAATTTTCTATATTTTTTCCATTTAATTTGCTATTTTTTTCACCTTTTTGTGGCAGAAACTTAGAGAATTTAAGTGATTTTAGTTTCGTAAAGTGCATTTAAAACTGTAAATTGGGGCTGGGGATTTAGCTCAGCGGCAAAAGCGCCTGCCTGGCAAGTGCAAGGTCGTGAGTTCAGTTCCTGGTACTGGAGAAAAAACAAACAAACAAAAAAAAACTGTAAATTTTCCTTTAGTGTGGCTTTTGTCACATCCCACCCACAGAATTTGTATATTGCCCTTATAACATTTTTATTCCTCAAAGTATAAGAACCTGAAAATATGTGTACATCATTTTTTTTTTTGTCTTTTTGAGACAGGGTCTCCCTGTGCAGTTCGGGCTGGCCTTGAACTCACTTTGTAGCCCAGGCTGGCCTCGAACTTGCAACAATCCTCCTGCCTCCGCTTCCGGAGTGCTGGGATTACAAGCATGAGCCACCACCCCGGGTTGTGTATATCATTTTTAGAAAGTATGTTTGAATATACTGTGCGTGGTAGACATAACTCATATAGTGGTTCTTTTATGGTCATTACTTTGGGTTATAGGGAAAAAAAAAGATAAAAAGTAGTCTTTTGTTGATGATTGACCTTGTTAACTTTTCTTCTAATTGAGTATACAGTCCATGATTTTAATGGTTTCTTGAAAAGCAGCAGTCAGAGGTGAAGGCTCTTGTTGGTGTCTCCTGTGTGAAATGTTCTCAGGCTTTCTGTTGCATCCTCGGATCAGCTGAACCTTGATTAACATTATAGATTTGTATAGTTAGTTGTACTAACTCTAGTAGATAATTAATAATATAGTTTGATTATCGCAATGTAATTGTAATATAAATATATTCACAATATTATGGTTAACAAAAAGCTTAAGTTAGTTTTGGGGTCCTCTCTGGCATTGCTTATAATGATTTCTTTGTCACTGCATTTCAGTATTTCTGTTTAGATCCCAAATATTTATGATTTGTTTGTTTGTTTCCCTCAAGATCAAAGTCTTTTAGACTTGGTTAATTGTGCGTATGAACTGCTAAGTTTATATAACTTAGTTTCTATAATTTATATAATTATATAAGTTTATATAATTTCCAAGAGATTGGCATGGGTGAAATAAGTACAACATTTAGATTCATCATTTTTCCCCTAAAAACTATTTAGTGTACATGTTGTTCCTGTAGCTTATCTTTTTAAAATGCAGATTTATACAGAGAAAATCTAATCTTAAGAAGTTGTGCTGGGTGACTGACAGTATCATTTTTAATGGATCTTGATGAGGTTTATTTTATTCAGTAAGAATAGAAGTTGAATATCCCTAATCTAAAGATCCAAAATCCAAATAGCTCGAAACCACAGTATACAAAACACTCTGGACCCAAGCACTTCAGATAAGGGATACTCAACGTATAATCCCATGTTGAAGAGTTTCTTTTCATCTGTCACAAGGAATGTTGACCTTTATTTCCATTGGCCCCTTTTCTGATAGCAAAAGTATTTGAAAGCTAAATTGATGCTAACAGAGTTCCGCGGGGAACATGGATATCTTTCAGGACATCTGTAAAGTCCTGTTTTATATACCAAATATGGTCTTTCTCCCTATTGTTCTTACAAACTTTACATTCTTATGTCCAACATCTGCCTGGGCAACTCACTTACTCAGATGGATAGGCCCCTTCTTTGGGCTCCCAACCCCTTAAAAGCAAGATAGCATATATTGATAGTCTTTGTTTATTCCATGTCTTTATAGATCATATTTTTAAAGATAGTAACATATTAATGACACTTTTGGTTATTACTTTATAGATGAAGGTACATTCTATAGATTGTGTGCTTAATCTCTTTATCCCCCCAAACCTTTGACTTATTCTTGAAAGGAAGACCCTGTCTACATTCTTACTTTTTCCTTCTCTGTTTCTAAGGGCTAGTCTTCATTTGAACAAAATTCTAATTACATGTGACTCCTGTCCAACTTTAATAAAACAGCTACCTTCAAAGATTTTACATATCCTTAAACATGTCAAATACAGTATCATTTGGGAGATTTAACACATTGTTGGATGGACTGTCTTATTCTTGCAATATCCTTCCTCTGAAGCACTGTGATGCTTTCTTATGTATCTGTACTATAATTATATTTATCAGTCTTACCTTTCTAAGTGTGCATTTTCAGAGGGCGGGAGACTATCTTTTAGTAGATCATTTTATTTTTTCTGTGATCCCTGCGGCCACAGGATTACATCAGAGGATTATACAGGGTGCCACATACAAAGGTGCACTTCTGAAGGGCAGACTCACATGGGGACAAGAGTCCGAGAAGGGCTGCCCTTCTGTATTCTGCACATGTGCAGAGGCTCCATCTACACTTAATAGAATTGGCACACAGTGTAGTAAGTGACTTCCAGATCTTCTAGGCAAGTACAGTTCATTGCCTTTTACGTTTGCTTTCTGCAGTCTACAGGTGATTTTCATTTCTGTCTTCTCATCTACTTAGTCTGTGCCATTTCCTTTCTGCTGCCCGCTTCTAAAGAATCCACCTGCTACGTATCATCTGTTCTCCATACATCAGATTTTTCTGCTATCTGTAAAAAATTGAAGGGAACCAGTGCTTCTTTTACAGTATAATTGTCACAGGACTGTGTTTATTACTAAGTCTTTCTTCAGATTGCTTTTCTCTTGATCCCAGTAATTAAAATCACATACTTTCTGAATTTTTATTAATTTTTGCCCATCTTGTCTTTATTTTTTAAGCTCCTGAGTTTGTCTTTGAAATGTTAATGCTCGCGTTTATCATTGTTGAGATCTGACACTCAATCATACCTGTACTTACATTCCAGGTCGTTCGTCCCTGTTTCCAATAGATGACGGCTTGCTGGATGATGGTCACAGTGACCAAGTTGGTGCTCTAAATTCCCCCACGTGTTATTCGGCTCATCAGAATGGAGAACGAATAGAACGCTTCTCTCGAAAAGTTTTTGTTGGTGGGCTTCCTCCAGACATTGATGAAGGTAAGGTGACTCGGCCTTCAAACTAAAGCAAAACAAAAGCAAACTTAAAAGAAACAAAATACAAGTATGATGTAAACAGGAGGTAGAACTTTGCTACCTCTTAGGTAGATTTTCAAAAGTAGAAATGAGATCTATCTCTGTTAAAAAGTTTGTTACTTGTTGAAATATGAAGATAATCAAACAAATTTTTAAAGTCTTTATTCTTTATATCTTATGCATGTTGTTGCTGTGAGCATCTTTTGTCAATATGATTTCCATACCTTGGTCATATCTTACTTAATTGTAAAATGTAGAACTTATTTATATAATACACACATGCATACATGCATACTTATACACAAATAATGGAATTAATCATGAAATGATGTCTGTAGTACATGACAATTGAAAGTTAAATTTCTTTACGGATAAAGACACTCTTAGAAATGGGTAAGAAAGAGGCTGTAAAGCCAAAAGGAAAATGGAAAACAGAACATAAAGTAGGAAATTCAGATTTATCCAGAGGCTAATAAAATGTGAAGTGTGAAACATGAAGCTAATAAAAAGGTGAAAATGATCATGTGTAAAAACAGAAGGTTAAGGTTGAAAGTACTGAACTATGTTTATGATGTTATGGGAAATTAGTACTCATTAATAACTGATAGAGAAGATATTGATATATTTTGGATGATGTTTCACTTCTGATTCAAATATCCACAAACTTACTCCAAACATTAATCAGAATGATAAGATTTTCATAGCTTAGACTCTATAATTGGATATGACCATATAGTGTATGAATTTTAATGAAGCTACTTGGTAACTGTCAGACCTCATTACACTTTACTAGCATTATAGCTGTTCCAGTTGTCTTAGGAAACCAGCTTTTTCCTACAAGAATATGATTTTACTTGTGAAGCAGCAATATCTCTTTTTATTTAACTTGATACAATGTTGACTTTTTCAAGCCAGTTCTGCTCATAAGTGTACTATGAGTGTACTATAAATCCATTAGCATTCATGTGAAGTTACATAAAATTTTTAAATTTACAGAATACTGTAATTATTTTTTCTAATATGCTGCTTAAAAGTAAATTTATTTTGACTAAAATAGTTATAGGTGTTACATATGATTTTAATAAAGATATTAACCATATTCTCTGTTTAGATTAAAATTTATCTTAGCATATTTGGCAATTTAAGATTGTAAATCTCTGAAGTAACTAAAAAATATGAGATTTCTTAAAATGAAACATTAAAGCTAATTCCTAATGGATGTTATTGTACTTTTTAAAGATGAAATAACTGCTAGCTTCAGAAGATTTGGGCCTTTGGTAGTAGACTGGCCTCATAAAGCAGAAAGCAAGTCCTATTTTCCACCAAAAGGTAAGAAATTTTACTTTTAATATTTGCTAGGAAATTTGTTAGATATGAGCAAAAAAAAAAAAAATAATGTCAGTTCCTTACTTTGTGTTTTCTTTTTAGAAAGATTTTAGAAGATTTCATATAAAAATTAATAATTCAGAGAGGCTGTAACCTGGGTTGAGACAGGAAGTATGATCCTGAGAACTCTTCCACTTTGAATTGCAGCTGGTCAAAAACAGAGACTCCATTGGTAGACTCCACTGTAACTGATATGATTTCATAAGCTGCAGTCAGTAAATGTTTGAGTATTTTCTCTGTAGAGTATCATTCTAAGTAATGTAGGTATAGACACAGGAAAAAGTATCCTTCTGCTCAGTGAAATGAAGATCTGTGTGTGTGTTGTTTTTTTTTTTTTATATTTTAACTGCCAGTTTTATAAAAAGGTCAAATGTTAGGAGGATGCTTAGCCAAATTAGGCACTTACTCCTAGGATCATTCTGTGGCTGATCACCAGAGGACTAGAATCACAGCCATGCTCATGTTACTGAGCACATCACATGATCAAGACAACCTTTCATGGGGAAAAGGAGGTCCGCTTCCCACAAGGACCGGAGGAAGAGAGGGAGAAGAGTTGAACATTATCAGTTTTGTTAGTCAGAATTGCAGCTGACAGATACTCTGAACTGAATAGCTGTCCTAGAACTGGTCCTGCTCTTCCTGCCTCAGCACTTCTCTGTATGATTGTGTCTTTGCCGTAAGGTTCTTTCCATAACTCTTTATCTGTGTGTCCCCACTTATCTTTGGATCTTAGCCTAAGTGTCAGTTGCCCCCAAAAACCTTTGAGGACCGACCTAAAGAGGTCCGCTTATCCTTCTGTCAGCCATCCTGACTCACAGCACTGTTTCTCTTTCATAGCCTTTGCTTTAGTTGCAGTTTTACATTCCAACAACTTGACAAAAATGCAGATGTTCTGTTAATGTCATCCACAAAACTATGTCTTCACTGAAGTTTATAGGTAGTCTATGTACTCTGGTATTCTTCGTAATTGACTGATTGGTAATTGCCCAATTAATGATGTAAACACCAGTAAATATTATAGGACAGAGAAATTACTTTGACCTCAAGTAGGTCTGAAAAGTGTCACTGAGAATTTTGAATTAAATTGAAAGCTACTGTGTAATTGGATAGGTGAAAGAAGTTGAACACTTTCAGACCAGAATTAAAACCTTTGGTTGACCCCTCGGTATCTTCAGATATTTTGTCTATGGGTGGATGCAGTCAACCATGAAGCAGATCTGTTCAGTAAAAAAACACTTGCATTTGTAGTGAACATATATGGATATTTTTCTTGTCATTTTTTTTCCTCGACAGTATAACAACTACCGAAGTAACATATATTACCTTATATAATAATAAATGATTTAAGGTATTCAGAGTTTGCTTATGCTTTTGTATATAAGAACTTGAGTATCCTGGGATTGTGTTTTTTGGCTGGGTTGTATACCCATTCCCCCATGGATACCAAGAGAAGATACCAAGGGATGACTGTAATTTTAGGAAGGATCTAGAATTGGTTTGGGTAAAGACAAATTTTTGCATGATTATACTCATTTAAGGTGATGGCGCATTTTAATCCTGAGAACATGGCCTTAAATATCTGATAAAACAGAATAGTTTTCTTCATTGCTTTTGTTGCTATCATAGTTATTGTGCTTTGTTCAATGTTTATTTTCGCAAACTCAAAAAAAAAAAAAATGAAAAGAAAAAAATTACCACTGGCAAATCGGAACCTTTTTTTTTTAAATATATAGTTTATTGTAGCCATTTTCAAAAGCCTGTGTTTTCAGATCTTATTCTGAAATATTCACCATTTCTGTAATTCAGCATTTCCCACTGTGTGGAAAAGCACTGGTACAGAAGCATCCAGTTGGTACAGCTGCGTGTAGTTTTAGCAGTGACTTGAACCTGTGGCACGCATGCTGCAGCAGGCACACAGAGCCAGCCCTGTTGGCACGTGAGCCAAGTGCGTGAGTGTTTGTTCTGAACCGAAGACCTCACTATTCAGGTTTAATTGCAGTCTTGGCACTTCATGATAAATTAGTGGGTTTGGGGTAGTGGTTTAGGCACTCAGTCTCTAAAAGGTTCGCTGTCACTATTTTAGATGCTAGGCACATGGGTACCTGTTTTCTTTGCAGTAAACAACATTCGTCTTATGTGGTCATTATTAGCTTGTTTTAATAAATTCCATAGATTATCATGTGGTTTGTTTTTGTGCAAACATTTCATTATCTAATGGCTTGCATTACTCAAGTCATAATTTACATACCATATTGCTTAATTTTTGCAATTGTTTTCATAATCCAAATAAATTTAAAACATTAATTTAGTAAATGTTCTCTTAATTATTACAAAACCACCACAGTTCTCATATCCTTAGTTTTTATCAAAGTTAAGGCCATGAGGAAAACCAGTCTTGCCTGACATGATGGTTCACCTGTAATCCCAGCACTTGGGAGATTAGGACAGGAAGGTTATGATTTCAAAACCAGCTTGGGTTGCATAGCAAGTTCAAGGCTGGCCTTGACTACATAGCAAGACCTTGTCTCAGAAAGCAGGCAGCAACAACTAGGAAGCCAGTCTTCATTTTTTTCAAGCTTATTTAAATGATGTCTAAGATGTATTTTTATTTTTTATTTTTATTATTGTTGTTATTCTTTTGGGTTTTTTTTTGGTACTGGGAATTGAACTCATGACCTCATGCTTGCCAGGCATGTGCTTGCTCCACTGAGCTATATCCCCGGCCTAAGATGTGTTTTTAATTTTGCATAATTCTACCTTTGGAAGCTTCTCATATGTAGATTGGTTTGAAAGTTTCAGGTTTTTTCTTTATAGTGTCCAGTATTTTTATTAAAAGGAAGTACTTTTGTGCCCGATCAAACCTTTCTAACATAACAGCCATTGTTGACAACAAGCCGTGTTTTCTGAGTTCTGAGTAAAACTTGCCGTTGTATTACAGAGGGAGATGTACGCAGCTTGTTGGGGCTGCTGTGCATTGACACTAGGTCACCATGTTGTTGTACCTTTGTTTGTGGAGAAATGTTGCTGAGGCAAGGCACATTTCTAGGTCACTTCACTTACCAGCTGCTGGGAATACTCATTCAATAGTAAATTTACAGTATACATTTTTATGCTTCCTTTTGTATGCTTTATATTCTGCCTTGCTGGATGCATGATTTTTAATTAAAGATTGACAGCTGGCTGTTTGCAAAGAAAAGAGGAGGAAGATACACTTCCTGATGGAATAGGATTCTGTACTAGCTTATATCCAAGTCTGAACAGTCTCCAGTTTGAAAAAGTATTCCACTGCTTATCCAAGTTGAGATGTGATGTAAAGGTTTTACCCTATCATTAAACAACATGTTTCATTCCAGCCTCCCTAGGGTAACTCTTAATGTCTTTTGGAACTTTTTAGAAGATAGTGGAATTTTCCCTCCACTTAGGGTAATTCCTGGGTCTTTCCAAGTATGCTGTAGTCCAAAGGTATCCTCTAGCATGTGCATTATCCTGAAAGCGTTTAAAGGAAATGTTGGCTCCTAATACTCTTGGCCAGGCTACTGCTGCCAAGTTTCTTAAGAACAGGGTGTCACTACTAGAAAGAGTGTGCGAGAACCTGAGGCTGACTTGTGTTTTAAATTGTTGAACCATCTGCATACTATGAGACTGACTTTGATCAAGTAAAAAAACCCTTAGGTGGTTTTTGGTTTTTTGGTTTTTTTCCCCTGTAAGGTGGAAATAGCACTGCATATACCTCAGACTTGGGAAAATCAAATGAAATAGTTCACTTAAGGCTCTGAGCATAGTACCTGAGAATAAGTGCTCCATAGAAGGCAGCTAATGGCTTTGCTCTTTGTTTTTTTATATATTCCAGAGGGTACAGTGTTCGCCTATAGAAGGCACAACAATTTAAGTCCTGTTAGTTTGTTTTCTAACCAGTACTGAAATTTGGGGCCAAGTTCCTTATGCTGACGTGCTGTTTTATTTTCCATGATTCTTCCAGGCTATGCATTCCTTCTCTTTCAAGAAGAGAGCTCAGTTCAGGCACTAATTGACGCTTGTATTGAGGAAGATGGGAAGCTCTATTTGTGTGTTTCCAGCCCCACGATCAAGGACAAACCAGTAAGTAAACGCCTCAGGGACTCCAGAGGGCAAGCGCAAGCTTTCCAAAGCCTATTTTGGAATTTTTGTGTAGAAACAAACTGCTGTGTTAAGAGTTCAGTTAAACATACAGGTGATTTACACTACATAGATAGAATTAACAATAATTTGTATGCAAATTCAGCTGTCCAAATTTTTAAAAAATAAAAGGAGTAACACCCAATGTAATTTTCTTCATAGGTTCAAATACGTCCTTGGAATTTAAGTGATAGTGATTTTGTTATGGATGGTTCTCAGCCTTTGGATCCCCGAAAAACAATTTTTGTTGGAGGTGTCCCAAGGCCATTAAGGGCTGGTAAGTAGAATACTAACCGATTTGGGGGGTTTCTTTTTAACAATTTAAACATAAATTAGTGAACTCAGGGACTGTTTGGCAGCTGTTATGTACCTGACACTGTCCATGGGCAAATTCTTCATAGTAGTCCTGGTATTCTTCGTAGTATTCATAGTAACCCTATAGTTGCAGAATTCTGAGAGCCTTTCTTAAAACCCTCAAGCTTTTATCAACTGATACTTTTAGTTAACATCAAGCAAACTTTATGTGAAGAATCTACTTGAATGCTCAGATTTTCCAAGTGCAATTCTTTTTTTCGTCTTTTTGAAACAGGGTTTTGCTATTCAGTTCAGGCTGACCTTGAGCTCACTTTGTAGCCCAGGCTGGTCTGGAACTTGCAATGATCCTCCTGCCTCAGCCTCCCAAATGCTGGGGTTGTAAACATGTGCTACCATGCCTGGCTGCATCTCTTTAAAACAGGGAGATTTTTGGATCTCTTAATTTCATGTTGGTTGATTCTGATATCTGAAAAAGAAATGGACTCTTTTCTTTTGTATGTATCTAAACTACAGTATTAACTAAATTTGCATTTAGATGAACGAGTGATAAGCTTCTTTATCGATAACCAGGAACCAGAAATCCACTGAAAGATGTAACTACAGCTGTAAATGTGCACTGTATTGTATGTAAAGTTATAAGTTGCCATGGACTAGCTAAGGTGTTAACAATTCCCGTCCTCCTCTTCCAGTCTGGGAGATAGCTGTTAAGGAACTGTTCACACTGTAAATATTTGAGAAACTTGATGACTGCTACAACGAAAGACTGAGGAAGAGGGGAGCACACAGAGCAAGGGAGTGTGACACAAAGACTGCACAGAAGGAGTAGGGTGGGGCAGTGAGAGGGCTATAAGGAGTGGACTTCAGACAAAGAGAAGAGCGTACTCAGGAATCTTGACTACGGTTGATGAGGGCCAGTGAAAGGACTGGAAGAAACCCAGACTGACTCAGGGGACTCAGGGTGGGCAGGGAGAGGCATAGGAGAAGGCATTAAAAAAGTAAATGGGAATTAGATCATACCAGTCTAGTAGGTGAATTTGACATTCTCAGAGCAAGAGAAACCACTAAAAGTTTTTAAAAATAAGAAGAGACATGATCATACTTGGAATTTTGAAAGATCAGTTAGGCTAATGACTCAGAGGGAAGCCTGGCTGTGCGTCAGTACGGAGAGTCCTGGCTTTGGAAGCCTGTTCCTGCAGTGTAGGAGGCGGACAGTGGTGGCAGGAGTTAGTGGCAGTGCAGAAAGAGTCGAATGAGCGCGTGTCCCAAGTATTTTGAAATGCAAAGGTTGAATCTCAGCTTTCATCTTTAAGTCCCTCGTGCGTGGTGGTACGTTTTATTGAGATGCTAGGAACCCTGGAGAAGGAGCAGGTTAGAAAGAAGATCATGGTTTTGGTTTTAAACACAAATTCATGGCACCATTCACAGTTCCAAAATAAAAGTTTCAATTAAACCATGCAGTATCTGGTCTAGGTTTTAAGCAAATCACTCTTGCTGCTCTACTGGAAATAATTGGAAAGACAGAGATCAAAAGCAAAGAGAGAAAACTATTGCCATAAACCAGAGGAGTAACACTTTAAAGTGATGGAGGTGATTTTAGGTGTTTTGAAAATCAGGGTCATAGGATCAAAAGGAAGAAAGCAGAAAAGATGAAGCCAAGAAAATCTTGACCTGGCAACTTCATTATTTCTGTTGTGTACTACCGGGGTCAGTCAGGAGAACTTCACTGGAATGGGTTTAATGGGACGAAGATCATTTTTATGTGTATTGTGTTTTTAAAACACTTTCCATTGCAGCATCTGTTAAATATCAATACAAGCGGTCCAGAAGGCAGTTATGTTTATGAGTCTTGAGCCCAGAGGAGAGATCCAGACTGAAGATACAGATTTAGGGGGATGAAAACGCATAGATGGTGTTTAAAGTTCTGACCCAGGATGAAGTCATCACCCAGGAGTATAGTCAGATGCTTAAGGACTGGAGCTCACAGTGCTCTGACACTGAATTCAAGGAGTTAAGGAGAAACTGTCCAGGAAGATTAAGAAGATATTATTAGTAAAGTGAGGGGGACACTTAGTCAGATAAGGTAACTTAGAAGGCAAACGGAGAGGAGAAGGTAGGAATTCCTATGTTCAAAGCCCCCTGCAGGTACACCGGCAGGTGATTTATCAGTGGAGAAAGATGACCGTGATGTGAGCGATTAAAGTGGAATTGTGGGGTAGCAGTCTGAGTACCAAAGGCTCAGCAGAGAATAGGAAGAGAGTGATTGGATATTTACAAGTGAAAAGACTGGATTTAGAAAACAGCGTGAAACGATACCTGAAAAGAAATCAGAGAGAACAGTAATGGGGTTAGTGCTGATAAATGGGGTAGATGTGGTAGGAATCTGACTTTATATTTAAAAAAAAGAAAAACAAGAGCTCTTGATCTCAAGCTGTCTTATAACAACTCTCTTTTGTTTGTACCCTGTTGTTGACTTTTTAAGAAAAATTGTTGAATGATTATTGCCTCATATTTGATGCGAGCATCCTTCGTTTTGCAGTGGAGCTTGCCATGATCATGGACCGGCTGTATGGAGGCGTTTGTTATGCAGGAATTGACACGGATCCAGAGCTAAAATACCCAAAAGGTGCTGGGCGAGTTGCTTTCTCCAATCAGCAAAGCTATATTGCCGCCATCAGTGCTCGATTTGTTCAGCTTCAGCATGGTGATATTGATAAACGTGTAAGTTGCACGCTGAGAAATCACAGTATCCTATGATAATGGGCCGATCCAAAGCCTACCACCAAAGGGGTGAATTATACAGTGCAAACATTGTTTATTTTTCAGTACTAACACACCCCAAGCCCTTTTATTTTTAATTGTATTTAAAGTTAGGGTCTTGTTGAATTGCCCTGACTAGCCTCAACGTTACAGTCCTCCTGCCTCAGCTTCCTGAGTAGCTGAGGTTACAGGCATGCACCACAACACCCAACAAACACATTTATGTTTTCTGCTTCTTAGAGTTATATCAGAACATCTTTAAAATATAAAATTTTTAAACATAGATTATACTTTAAGTATAATATAAAAATTATGGGTTAAAGTATAATATAAAAATTATGGATATAGATATCATTTTACAGCCATGACAAAATTTTCTATCAACCTGTGGGTCCCGAGTATCTAACCGCAGAAGCAGAGCTTCTTTTAGGAGCTTGTGCTTGAGCCAGCCTGCCTGAGATTGAGTCCCATTTCCTGCTTTTGCCTTGTAATCCCCGGCAAATTAGCTCTCTCTGTGACACTTTTCCCTACTTAGAAAATGGAAAAGAATATTAGCATGTCTCTCGAGGTTGAGAATTAAATTAATTCAGACACGTACAAGGACTTGAACACAACTTGACATAGAGTAAGTGCTACTTAAATGTAAGTTTTCATTTTTAGAATGCATATGTCTGTTTCCTAATTGACCAAAAAATGTAACATATTACCTCCTTAGTAGCATTGCTTAGGTCATCCCACTAAGAACTTGCAGATCTGTGAGTTATAACTGAAAGTCACTCCACTGCATAATTCTGAGTGCTGTGATTGCCATCTAAAGCAAGGGGAAAAGGTAAACAAACTCAGTTGCTCATTTGCAAAGCAATTTCATACTAAGATCAGTGAATAGCTCCTATACATATCTGACCAATATTCTAAAATACTCATATACATTTACAGTGCAGCTGACATATACCGAGAATACAGGATAAATGAGTTTTTATTTCCAAATGACTAGATGCAACTTGCATGGGTACTTATTTCCCAAGTAACCATTAATTTTGAAGCCTTTACTGTTTTGCCCTTGGAAAGGCTATTTTGGGGATAGGCTAGTTCTGACTGACTAGACCAAGGACTTCAGGAGTAGTCATGAGTATAATTACCAAACTGTCTTATTTACAAAAAGAAGAACAGCATGGGTCTAGTTTATAAGTGCAAAGTGACTTCTTTGTTTCCATTGCTACATAAGATATTGCCCACAATAAAAGAAAGAGGAGGGCTGTGCTTTTATTCAGGTCAGCATCTATAAGCTTTGTGAACTAGTTTGAATCTTAGAGGTCCTCTAGTTTGTAGTTCTCAATCTCTAGGCATTTGGAAAACATAACTTGAGATTCTGCTGTAATTGGTCTGGGCCACAAGCAAAGCAGCGGCTTACAAAATTCCCCAGGTGCCAGTAAGGTAGAGCCATGGCTAAAATCATTCACCTTGGACAACAAGGAGGACAGGTCGCTGGGGACGTGATTTGCATCTGTATAATTGTGGCTCTGTGATACACACAAGTAGTTGAAATTGGTGCCATGTGATGCCTCACACCTCTTTGGTTCTAAAATGGTAGCACAGGACCGATTTTTTTGGCCCAGAACACTGGTTCCTAAACTGCAGCTCAGTTGCAGAACATGTGAATTAAGAAACATGAGAAAGGAATGGAGCCTCTGAAATACACTGAACAACTTCCTGTAGCCCAGGTGATACCTCAGAAACAAAGCTGAAAGATGAGCGTCTCCCAGGGCTCTGCCTGGGACTGAGGGTGCTCTTTATGGCTTTTTTCAAAACATGCAATCAAGCATATGAAGTTCAGTTTTTAGACTTGAGGATGTCTGAAGAAATCGTGGAAGATTTCAACCTTGGATAAAAATTTATGTTACATGTTTTTGTGGATATATTACCTCTGTATAAATTAGAAAAAAGTATAAGGAAATTAAATCTAATACACTGTTTTCTGTATAACTTTAAAAAGTGCCTTCGTAAGGCAGTGAAAACTTATTTTCTAAGGTACTGTACTACAAAGATATATTTGGAACTTCATTTGAAAGAATTCGAGTCTTAAATATTTTACACATCACTAGTGTGGTTTATATGCGGAAATATTAAGGCATTAACGTTGATACCGTTCTTCTCTCCAGTGTTGGCATAGTTATTAAGCCATGTACGCAGATCAAATTTAAATGTATAACTGATGTGTAATATCTCAAAGGCACATAGGGCATTTACTTGGAGGTGAAAATTACATAGCCTTGTGAACAATATGAGGCTTATTTTCTGACTCTGATACCTAGGTAACACAATCACCACGAATGTATAAAATTCATTGTGTTTTTTGTATGTCATTGCTCAAATAGTATAACTCACAAACCTGATAGACACTGAATTGAATTATGTTAATTTCAAGTTAGATACTCATTTTTTTTTTAAATCTTATTTTATTTATTTATTTTTTGTTTCGTTTTCTTCCGGTACCGGGAATCGAACTCACAACTTTGCGCTTGCCAGGCAGGCACTGTGCTGCTGAGCTAAATCCCCAGCCCCTGTACTGTTAAGTTTGACATCTCATTTCCCTCCTTTCAAGTCTATGATTTTAACTGAATTAACTACATAAAACAATATCTATAGAATTTTAAAAATATAAATAATTGAAATCATTGTATGAGTCAGAGTTTTTCAGTAGTTTTATATTAACCCCTGAGCACCTGTCATTTTATGAAATGTTGTAGAAATAAAGAACACAGACCTTGGCTTTAATTTGCTTAAAATTGTACAGTAAAAAACAAGAAGTAATCATGAGAGAGAAACCCAGAAGGCGTGTGTAAATGTACCACATTTATTCCTAAGATATTTGTAAGGTCTGTCCTTTGCCCCAGGTATTCTGGTCGGTGTGGAAGCCTCAGTGTTGAGCTCATTGCCACTGTCCCTGTGCCCCGGGGTCTGCAGTCCAGCCAGACGAGGCCCAGCAGTGCTCATGCCACAACTTAACTCTTTGATTACAGTAATGCTCTTCCTTGAGTGTAGTTAAAGTGATGATAAAAGTAACGCCTAGCAAAGCTAAGATAGAATTCATAAAAGAAAAAGGTGAGAGGTAAAGATTCAGCATAAAAGTTTTCAAATTTAGATTGCAGATTGTTTTAGAAATCAAAGACCATATCAGACGTGGTGAAACATGCCTGTAATCCCAGCTCTCAGGAGGCTGAGGCAGGATGATTGCTGGGAGTTCAAGGCCAGCCTGGGCTACAAAGGGAGTTCAAGGCCAGCCTGCATAGTGAGACCCTGTTTCAAAAAGAAAAAAAAAAATCGAAGACCAATGGAAAAGTTAAAAGTCCTTTAACTGATAAAGAGAACTTACTAATCAGTTGTATAAAAAGAATCAAAAGTTGGGGCTGGGGATTTAGCTCAGCGGCAAAGCGCCTGCCTGGCAAGCGCAAGGTCGTGAGTTCGGTTCCCGGTACTGGAGAAAAACCAAAAAAAAAAAAAAAAAAAATCTCAAGAATCAAAAGCTGAAGCAGAAAGATACACAAGAGGTACAAACATGGATTTCAAAAGCAAAATATCTAGTGTACACTGTGGATATAATACATAAAACGCACTTACAGTAGCCCTAAGCAGTGAAATACAAACAACAGTCTGTTCCATTACCTCCCTATCAAATGTTTATCTCACAGTTATCCTTTTCATCACCTTATTTTCAGTTCATTACTATTCTTATAAATATCCTCGTATATTCATTTTCTGGGTGCACACAAGTATTTTAGTAGCATACATTCATAATAGAAGTTAGTTTTTTACCACAGGCCAACTGTACTTTATCTCAGGTCCTGTCCTTCAAAACACTGGATTTTCTGTCCTCTCCTAAGAGAAAGGCTAAGATCTTGGGCTCCCTGGCACACCTTGGCCAGGCAGACAATAGAGGCTTCCATTCATAAGGTTATTACAGTGGGAAAGCACGGCTAATGCAGCCTACAGTCACTAATGCTAATACACAGTGTTTACCATGCGCCAGGTGCTGGAGCAGGTTTTCTCATGTATAATTTAATCCTCACAACTCCAAGACAGATTCTGTTATTCTCATTACAGTTACAGAAAAGGAGGCTGAGAGGTTTTTATCCTTGAGGGTTGTCTGTAGTCTAACGTCTTCTGCTGAGTAGGCCTTCCCAGTAGGACTTTCACTTTATATCGTGTAAATCCACAAAAGTCTAGACAGGCCCTTAATTAGATTAGCCACGGTTCTGGTTTGTAGCAGTTACTTCCAAGCAAGCCTGGGCCCTCACCTGCGGTATGGAAGCACCGCCATGTTCAGTGGCCATTGCACTTCTGCCGCCTCACAGGTGGGATCAGAATGAGGGAAAGAAAGTGCGAAAACCATTTACATTCTGTGATCGCTGGGTCACCCTTCTGTTTGCTACACGCAGCCACCGCGCCTCCGAAAGTACCCACACACAGGTGTTAGAAATCTGGTCTTCAAGGAAGGCGAGGGTGGAGTGTCTTGCAAATGAGATTTTTACAGTCTTTAAAAGGATTTCCTGGTTTTTAAAGAAATGCAGTAAATAACATTTGTACTCATGTGGAAAACAGGGATGACAGTAAAGCAATTGAATGAAGTGCTCAGTATATAACTACACAGCCAATTATAAACAGGATATATTACATGTAAAACTATACCTAACGCAAAAATAATTTTTTTTATTTACTGGATGGTGAAAGTAAAGCCTTGGAAAGCTTCCTCCTTTGTCAGTTTTAATGGAAGTCCTTTCCTCTAAGTGCTGCGTGAACATTCTACATCATTACAGAGTTGGTGTTCTGAAGCGAACACTAACGTTTCCCTTCTGTCTTTTCTAGGTGGAGGTAAAGCCATATGTGCTGGATGATCAGATGTGTGATGAATGCCAGGGTGCACGCTGTGGTGGAAAATTTGCCCCCTTTTTCTGTGCCAATGTCACTTGCCTGCAGTATTACTGTGAGTTTTGTTGGGCAAATATCCACTCTCGTGCAGGACGTGAGTTCCATAAGCCATTGGTGAAGGAAGGTGCTGATCGCCCGCGTCAGATCCACTTCCGCTGGAACTAAGAATAGCAAACTGGCCTCTGTTTAACAAGGAGAGAAAGGGTGCATGTGGCTTACTGTGTCTGAAGATACCGACATGCAGAAGAAATAAGTGCATTCTTCTGCTTTTCACCCCAGCTATCAATACATGCATCTTTATCAGCAGCCGAAACACTACAAGCCTCTTGTTTTTCACCAAAACCCTACATCTCAGGCTTACTAATTTTTGTGATATTTTCATGTTAAAATAAAATGTTTTTTTGTATTTTCTCCAAGTTATTTTTATATGTAAAGTTAAAATTAGATACAAGAATGTTTTGCGTAGGGGCAACACAGTCTGCTGCTATATAGTGGGTGAAGCGTGCACTTATTTCTAAACATGGGTTTTTAACTTCAAGATCTGCCCCAGTACTTTACCAAAGGTAGCAAAATAATAGTGAAGATGGAATATGTCTGCTACAAATGCTTATTTTTATTGTTGCTATTTTCAGTGTATACATAAACTAAAAATTAGGGTTGATTTTTTTGCTCTCCATTTTGACTTGCAAGAAATAATACCTCAAGATAATCTGATTTATTAGCTATTTTTAAACATTTTTAATCACAAGCTGTATTAGCTTTGCTGCTATATAGGTGTTATGTGTAAATGCCACCTATTAATACGGGATTGAAAACGTTAGAGACACACTGCATTGCAGATAAAATGCAGGCAGCACAATATGGCCTAAACTGCCATAGTTTTAGAATGTGAAAAAAAAATGCATGTTTACTTACCTGTATACACCATATGCATGCACTAGAATAATTAACAAGAGGTGAGGTATTGCAAATGCTCAAAGAAGCTCTCTTGAGTCTAGGTAGCATGAACAAATGATAAAATTTGTTTAAAAAAGCAAACTTGCATGCATTTCTTGTGACTTCAAGTTAAAAACGTTGTCCTACATGTGTAAAATATGCAAATTAGTTTTAGATTAGAGAGTGCAGCCATTTTGTGATCTGGTCAGTAGTGGAATTCGATTTTATGCAGACTGGATGTAATATTTGTAATCCCTGTGCAATTCTGTGATGTGCGGTTCTAATTCATGTGCAGTGATATAGTATAGATAAAAGACTGAGTAAAAGAAAAATACAGGAATTCTAAAGAAAGCTGATTTTAGCCCCTCTGATAGTTCACGGCGAAGACATCCGTTATAAACCAAAGATGGCCAGCACACTGCTAACCAGTCACCAAATGTAAGACCCGTAAGAAGCCCATATTTTAAAAAAATGAATTTTATAGAAGAATGCAGAACTTCAGTAAACCTAAGTAAAGTCAAAATGGAGATGGGGAAATATACAGATGGCTAGTTGCATAAAATTAAAGTTTGCCTTTAAGACAATGGTGAAATCTGGCTTAACTTGCTTACACGTTTGACCTATGTATACTGGGGGTCTTCTGTCTAAACTGGGGTCACTGTTGCATGGAACATTGTTGTTCTTAATGGTTAAGAATTGCTTTTTTAAAATTTTTGATGAAGGAATTTTGGTAATGACTTTGCTTGCAGTTTTAAGGTTTTTTTTTTTCTTTTTTGAGAAAGTAGCATGGAAACATGCAATAGTTAATGAGTTTCTCTTGGTACTGAACACTATTAAAATATCATTATTGATATTTTTTCTCTTTAGAGCATTTTTAATGCAACTAGCCCCTATATTTTAATGTAAGAGTTACTCTGAAATCTACGCAAAGCACCCAACAATGGTAAATTTTTTTTTTTTAAAATGCAGGACTAAGATTTTTGACTCTAAAGAGAGAAAATTACAAGGGTGTTTGCCTTACAGCAAGCCCTTGGGACAATCCTTCATGTGAGCAAAGTGTTGATCCTAATATCGGTTGTCTCTGGTGTGCTTTTTTGTATTGTAAAAACGTGTGGTTCATGTCTAACTCTGCTGTTTTATTGTGGTTGTGGTTCAAGTTTTTAATGTTTAAAGTTGATGCCGTTTTCAGAAGAGCTTTTTACTAATTTATTTGTCAATGTTCCCTATTTGTTACTTAACCATGATCCTCCAGATTTTTTGGAGTATTCTTTTCTAACCTTAACCCTGCCAAACCTTGATCCATTTTGACATTTGTTATGCACTATTTTTATATCTCTGTGAGAGATTTTTCCAACAGTCAGCTATTTTATGGCATACTTTTTTTGACTGAAGACATCTCCTTTGCTATACCTCAATTTTTGGAATTTAGAAAAGAAATCAGTAGTTTTGCAATGTTAATTATTTAGATATTTAATTTCGCAGATTTTTTAACTTTATTTTCATAATTTCTGCTTAATGTTTAAAATTGAAGAGCCTTTTCATGTATTAAATAATGATCTCTAAAATAAATTATATGAAGAAAATAATTGGAGATGTTGAAAATCACTTTCCCTTCTCAAACACAAATGAATATTTGAAACGAAGGGAAACATAATAGAACACCCTTCTCACCACGGGTAAAATTGACAGAAATGCACGGTTGATTTTACCCTCATTTCTGCCACCACAGAGCTTATTATTCTGATATTTCATTCCTTCCCCACCTCACCCCTACCTTTTTTTTTTTTTTGCCTTTTATGTACTGCATTCTTATTTTCTACCTGTTAAACACTGTATTGGAAGTTTTTTTTTTTTTAATTTACAGATCATATTTATTTTACTATTTTTGTAGAAAATTATTAATTTTGATTGTATTTTTATATTTTCAAAGCTTCTTCATTTGTGTTCCCTAAATGTTCATATTGCTGCCCAAAAGTATGACTGTGGAGGAAAAAAATACTTTAAAAATCCACACTTTTTGTTAAGAAGGAAACATTTAGCATTTATATATTTGTGTATGGAAAACACTTGATATTTTATCCCTGTTGCATCTGGCTGCACAGAGCCTCTCCTCGAAGATGCTACGAAACTTGAATATAACACACTTTGGAAGGCTGACTAACCTCGATTCTGTGTTGTGACGTGCAATACTGTTTCTAATGTTTGTATAAAAAAATAACAGTGTAAACCTTTTTAATGCAAATTTATTTTTTTCATTGCATATTTTGCAGATTTTATCCACAGTGTCATTTTTTACTGTCAGAAAAGATACCCCTTTTGTCATTGCAACTATTTTTTAAATCCAGAAATCTTTGTACTGATGTAAATGATTGTAGTTATTTTGGATAGTGTTTTGCTAACAAAAGGAGAGACTTTTTTCATGCATATTTCTATTTTGTTTTTTTGGGTTTTATTTTATTTTAATAGTAGTAAAATACTTGGAATAATTTTTCATATTCTTGTCATTAATATTATTTTGTATTTTTATGTGGAAATATATAATTTTATGACACTAATTGCTAAAGTTTATTTTATGTTGAATTATTTTTGGAGCTGAAATCTTTGTAATATTAAAGCAACTAGTTTCTAATTCCCAGTTTCTGTATAGAATCGCACAAGTGGTTTATGGAGTGTTTGGATTGTAATTATAAATGGTTCTTTGATATGCAAATTAATATTTTCAGTTGATTTTATTTTATATTCCTAATGGGGTGTTAAAGCCGTTTTTTATTTTTTTCTAAATAAAAGAGAACCCATGCTTTTATGGACACTAGGTAAACGCCTTCAGCTTAAAATTTTTTGTTAAATATTTTAGTTTATTTTATTGTTATCTTCCAGGTGTCTAAATCTCCAGTCTGTCCGTTGTACTGGTAATTTAACTCTGTAATGGAATAGTTTGCTGCCAACTATTTATATTAAGTAATTTTTAAATATTTGTAATATTGTTGACTGACTAATAAACTATTAAGTTATTGGCATAGTTGTGGATTCTTCGGTTCAAATCAATCAAAATACCCATCATGGCCAGTAAAATCTCACTGAGAGCGGAGAGACCTGGAGAGTCAGCCGCTGTACATGTCAGTGGAGGGACAGGGTGGGAGGCTTGGGGACCGTTCAGTTGGGTCCAGTCTGGTATTTCTCAGTATATTCACCTCAACTATCTTTACATCCATTTCCCTTGCTGCCCTTGCCCTTAGCTTCCATAAACAATAGAGATTTCTGAGTTATGGTCATCACTGGTAATTAGCTTAGTACATCTAGAAATTGCTCCTGCATTCAAAAAATGAAAAACTGAATCACACAGCTACATGTGCAGTTTCTGTGATGCCTCCTTAGGTACCTTCTAGTTGGCAGCCTACCAGAACTTCCCCATATGTTCTCTGCACAGCCTGTGAGGCAACATGTCTGCATGCTGGTGGGAAGCAGAGGAGGAGGCACAGAATAAGCAGCCTGGGATCGAGGTTCCTTGTCCGTAGAGAACTGGGAAGCTCTACTTTAACAAAGTAGTTAACCTTAAAATTAGTATGTAGTCCCAATGGTAGGAGATACCAAAAATTCCAAAACTTTTTTAAGAAAGTGAATATTCGTCATAACTGAAATTTTCTTTTTACCTGTAAGGACATACTGGTATCCCAGAGAAAATAAAACTTACTTCCCCATATTCCACAACACGGTATAGAAATTCCTTAATTAGGTTCATCCTCTGCACTATCACCCCTGTCCTCTAGGGAAATCATGCATCTTCATGTGCTAGATTTTGAGGTATGCTGTCATTTTTCTAAGTAGAATCTTTTTCTTTTTCTCCATAACAAAACCAAAGAACTTCATCTGCGTTCTAGCCTAACAAGGCTTAGCAGCAATTGCATGTTGTTCTGGATCCCCGACTACTGACGTGAAGATCATTATCTTTCTGAAGCCCCCTTTCTGTCATTTAACAACAACAACAACAAGAAAAGCCTTGTATACCAACTAGGTATTGGACACTTGGCTAAACAGGGTCCTTGGCCACTAGGCCATTTCACAGCCTTTTCTGCAGTATACTATGATAGCAAATGAGTACCAAAAGTGACGGGAATTTCTGCTAAATTTTCACCTTGAAATCATTTTACTTCATTAAGATTTTCACATGCAAGGAAGGATTTGACTGAAAGTTTTTCATAAACAAAGAAATAGAAGACCTCAAAGTTTAGCATTCACAAACCCTTTCTGAAAGAATTACATGAAGATTGACTCCACCAAAAAGAAGAAATAATAAAATATCCACAAAACAGTACAACAGGATACTAGGTAACTTGTAGTAAAGACACCAGTCTAATGTACAGTTAAGAATACAAAAAAAACCAGTTAAGAATATAAAAAAAAAAGTTCTGTCTGTCACAGAGAACTACACTCGTGAGTCTACACTTAGAACTACACTTAGAAGTCATGATAAGAGACAAAACATTACGGGAATACAGACATTACAGACATAAAACTCAAAGCAAAGTAAAACCTGGATAAATATTTGAAATGATGACAAAGGCCCTTTCTGGAGAGGCGTAAGGTGATTATAGATGTTGATGAATCTATTGTACATGTTCAAATTGCCTATTAACTTGCAAGAAATGTAAATATACATTTAAATGTAACATGTAATCAAAATGTTTTAAAAGTCACACAAACTATGAGAAGGGTAAAACCTGTCCTGGCCCTTCCACTATCCCAATTTCTGCTCCAAGGAGTTAACTGCTTTTAACTCAAGGCTCAATACCTTTCACTGTTGTTATCTCCTTATCTAAATCGCACACTTACATCGGTTCTCAGTTTGACATTATTGGCCTGAAATAAATGTACGTATTTCTTTTCAGATACGCTCTCAAACCCACAAACCACGGCGTTTATTTTGTGAATGTATACTTTGTTCCTGTGTTTCACACATCACTAATAAAGATTGTTCTAAGGAAAACGGTGAATAGAACTTGCTTCAAAACTATAAAGAGGATGATAGGAAAATTTAGAGGTTTTTCCATGCTAACTGAATTCTACCTCTACAGCGCCTTTTAAAATCTTTTTCGTGTAATGTAATACATGTAAAGAACATAAATTCAAGCGTCAATTCACATTGCAAGAAATACAAAACTTTTGTCAGTCAAGCAATAGAAAATTGTTGAAAGTAGGGATTCAGGCAGACTTTTATATGCTAATGTTTATATTTATAGCAGCATTGTTCACAGTAGCCAAAAGGTGGAAATAAACCAAATGTCTGTCCATGGGTAAGTGAATTGTTAAAATGAGGTATACGCATATGATGGAAGATTTTTCAGCTTTCAAGGAAAGTGTAATGCCTGCTGTGTCATGGATGAAAAAAGTTATGCTCAATAAAACCCAGTTGCACAAGTGTAAACAATGATTTCATCTTATGGAGTACCTGAAATAGATTCGCAGACTCACGAAGTGGGATGACAGTTGTGGAATGAGGAAAGAGTGGCCCGTTCAGTGTTAATTTGAGAGACTGAAAACTCGGGGTGCACAGCAACGTGTGCGTAGTTAATGCGCTCACAGCACTTGTAGTGCTTCAAATTCTCAAGAAACGCTTGCTTGGCTTCTGTATTTTGAATTCCAAAG